TCCAGGATTCAAATTTTTAAAGGAAGTCAGGCCGACTGGTTATGGCGGAGTTGGCTTCCTAATTAGAAATGATATTGCAATACATGGATTTAAATTACCTTCAATGAATCGAATAGAAGCAATAGTAATAGAAACTTTGAATACGATTCCAAAAATGCTCATAATATCAACGTACATACCCCCTTTGCCCATAAATAATAATGATATTAAAAATCCACTTAAGAAACTTTTAGACATAATAGAAAAACATAATAAACCAACCATATTAGCAGGAGACTTTAATGCACATAATAAATTATAGAACCCAAATCACCCTAATTTTCCTAGAGGTGAATTAATAGACCATTTACTTGAAAACAGACTTAGTTCTACTTAATAACGGCTCCAGTACATTGATTAAACCACCAAATACACTCCCCTCAGCAATAGATCTAACTTTTGCATCACCTTCAATAGCTTGCAAATCAGCATGGACAATATTAGATCAAGATTTTTTCAGTAATCACAAAATCATCAAAATAGAAATAGAAAACTCAGCTCCCTATAATCAAACCAATGTAGAATTATTTAACAAAAACCAAGCAGTAGAGAAAATAAATCAAATAAGCCGCAAATGATTCACACACCTGAAGATATTTCCCCAATAATAGCAGAACAAATTAATTCTTCAAAATATAATTTAAAAATAGGAAAGGTTAAACGAATACCTAAACCTTGGTGGACTAAAGAAATTGCGGAAATACTAGAATCGAAAAACAAAAAATTAAAGGAATTTAATAAAAATCAAACAATCTAAAATTTAAAAGATTTTAAAAGAGAAAGAGCAATATTAAAGAGAAAAATAAGAAGCGAAAAGAGAAAAAGCTGGAAGGAAGTAATTAACTCTATAAATCCAGATATGTCTTAGAAAGAGTTGTGGAATACAGTCAAGCTGATAGGAGAAGGACGTCCATCTAAAAATAATTTAATATTACTAAACGACAAACAATTGACATCACAATTCATGCATGTTAACTTCCCTACGATATCATCTGAAATTAACTATATTCCAATTACAACACAGCAGCAGATAAGAATAGATTTCAGAGATATAAGAAGGATCGTTTATTCAAAAACATATCATTCAACCCCAGGACCAGATCTTCTCTCATTTTATATACTAAAACGTATCAGATTGTATGACATTCCCCCGAAAGCCATTCCCCAGAATGCCATTCCCCAGAATGCTATTCCCCAGAATGTACCATTCCCCAGAAAGCAATTCCCCAGAAAGCCATTCCCCAGAACGGACTATTCCCAATAAAACCATTCCCCAGAATACACCATTCCCCAGAAAACCATTCCCCAGAATGTACCATTCCCCAGAAAAGTATGCCATGTATTAGATTGACTATTTTTGTTTATTATAGTCACTCCTGGAATCTTCTTTCGCGTATATAAAAAGAATAGAAAAACTTCTTAATGGATCAAGGCGTTTTCCTTTCTTTGAAAATATAAGAAAAGGAAATAATTAATTCTTTGAATATATTCCCATCTTTTAAAATATGAAAGAGAACATAATTAGTTCGTTAAATATATAATAAAGATGGGAATATTCTGTTCTTTGAAAATTTAAGAAATGGAAATCATTAATTCTTTGGATATACGATAAAGAATGGAATACTCCCTACTTTAAATATGTAAATAATATGAAAAAGAAGCGAATATTCCCTTCTTTGAAAATATAACAAAAAGAAAGAAATAATTCTTTGGATATACGATAAAGAAGAGAATATTCCCTTCTTTGAATATATAGAAGAGAACATCATTAATTCGTTAAATATATGATAAAGAAGGGAATATCCCCTTCTTTGAAAATATAAGAAAAGGAAATAATTAATTCTTTGGATAAACGATAAAGAAAGGAATATTCCCTTCTTTGAATATATAAAAGAAAAAATAATTAATTCTTTGGATGTATGATAAAGAAGGGAATATTCCCTTCTTTTAATATATAAGGAAAATATATAATCAATAGGTCGTATGAATAAAAGCGTTTACTTTACATTCCCCGTAAGAAAAGCACGGGAAAGTAAAGTAAACTCTTTTTATTCATACGGCCCATTAGCTTTTCGCAAGGGATTCGGGGTAATGCCTATTTATTTGGGATAATAATGAGTGGAATAATTTTATAAATTTGTAATCGGTAGTTCAACCGGTAGTTGCACCGATTTTTTAATCCATCGTGAGAAATTCTTCAACTCAATTCGAACAATTCTTCGATAAGGTTTAACAGTTTCCGACTGGTTGAATTGGATTGCATAATAGACCCTTTGACTTATTAAATGATGAACGAAGTGCTCGAAAACTTAAAGGTTGTCATTTTATAAAGAGCTAAAAAATGGTTTGGAATTGATAAATACATAGTTCCATAAAAGTAAACATAGTGCATTATCAATAGTAAAAAAAAGAAAAGTGAAAATTACTAATTTCATCATCTTTTCTGGGGAATGGTACATTCTGGGGAATGGTACATTCTGGGGAATGCTTTTCTGGGGAATGGTACATTCTGGGGATTTTTTTCTGGGTAATGGTTCATTCTGGGGATTTTTTCTCTGGGAAATGGTGCATTCTGGGGAATAGCATTCTGGGGAATAGCATTCTGGGAAATGGCATTGTGGGGAATGGCTTTCAGGGGAATGTCATACAATCAACGTATCAATCTAAATTTACAAATACGAATCTCTGAGCTCTTGAATGAAGTTCTCAATTCAGGTAATATACCAGAAGAATGGAGAGCAATCAATATAGTCGCTCTACTGAAGACAGGTAAAGATCCGAATGAATGTAATTCGTACAGACCATTAGCTATGATGAATGTGTTATTAAAACTCATTAACTGTACAGTCAAAAAGGAATTGAACGAGTACATAACAGACAATAACATTCTTCCAATTAATTCTTTTGGATTTCGAAAAAATATATCAGCAATCAATTGCGTCAATTACCTGGTTTCAGGAAACTAGGTTTTGAATTAAATCCACACAAATCAGCCACAATGCTTTTCACAAATAAATTTAACCCAAACATAAATGTTAGAATCAATAATACATCGGTACCTATAATAGAAAGTCATAAATTTTTGGGAATCCATTTAGATCACAAATTGTTATTCAATAGACACATAGAACAGACTGCTATCAAAGCAAAAAAGAAAATAAATATTCTTAAAATGATCTCCAAGAAACGTAGTGGAGCTCATCCGGAAGAGATGTTAAGGACAACTAAAGCAATAGTTAGACCACACTTAGATTACGGAATTACATTAGTAGCCGCAGCTGCTAAGACCAATTTTGCAAAGCTAGAAACAGTTTATCTCTTAGCACTAAGGACTTCCATGAGAATATTAAAATCAACTCTGAATCATGTAGTTTTATATGAATCAGGTGAACTACCATTAAAGCTAAGAGCAGAAATCTTAGCTCTGAAAGAATTAACGAAAACATTATACTTTAATAGTCCAATAGTAAAAAATCTTTCAGAATTAATGCAACTTAACTATCTACTTAGACATACATCTTTCATAGAAAAGATCACTTCAATTAATAATTTCCACTTCTATCAACTAGCTGACAATATAGAAATAATAAGTGAACTTACATTAGAAAATAAACTCAAGGTTAATGATGAATAACCTAAAAAAATCAATTTTTTCAACATCAACCCAAAGACAAATAATTACAGATCTAATCCAGACAAAATACAAAAACACTTATCAGCTGTATACAGATGGCTCATTATTAAATTCCATTCCAGGTATTAGTTTATATGATTCTCAAGAAAAAATATCCTTTAGCCAAAGATTAAAAACAGGTTTTACAATTATGAATACTGAAATAGTAGCAATAATCAAAGCAATAGAATACGCGGAAACCAAAAATATAAAGAAATTAGCTATTTTCACAGATTCGAAGTGTGCTTGCACATTAATTAACAACCCCAATCAATACGAAAATTATTTGATCAAACAGCTAGTAAATATAGTTGAGAAATCATCGATAGAAACAGTCTATATTCAGTGGATTCCTGGCCACATAGATTTAGTCGGTAATGACAGGGCGGATCATGCAACTCGAAACACTGTAGAACAGTTTAATTTTACCTTACAATATTTGATTAATATTCTTAAGAAAGAAACAGAAAGCATCTGGCAAGATCAATACTCACAAATTTCATCTGAAAAAGGCAAATTTCACTTTGAACATGCTAAACAAACTTCTTTGTCACCCTGGTTTAAAAAAATGAGCTTTGAAACTTTAGACACCATCATGTTATCACGCATCAGGTCGGGACACATGACAACAAAGGACAGACTAGCTACATGGAAACTGATTCCAAATGATCGTTGTGACCAATGTGACGTGACAGAGAACCTATGGCACATACTGTACGATTGTCCAAAACACCATTCGATTAGAACTGGGTTTCCAATTTTATTAAATAACACACCCATTCAATTGATTCTAGCCCAAAAAATAAAGGAGAATATACGGCAATAGTTGAATACCTGAAAACAATAAAACAGGATCTTAAGGATTAACTTCGATTTTTGATAAAAAAAAAATACATACAAATATATCTAATGGAATATTAACATAAACGAAGAGTATTTACCACTAAAAACACTAAAGGGGCATCAAAAGTTCGAGTTCGTTTAAATTGATGGTTTTGGCAACACAAGACTATTCATTCACAAGACTTGGCTTTATGGATCGATAGGTATGAGCCAGATGACGGTTAGAAGGAAAAAAAATAGATTTAACTTTTTTTTTTTTTATTTAAGAGGTTTTCAGCCAAAAGGCTGGTTCGCCTCTGTCCTATAGATTTAACTTGAAGGGTAACTACTTTGTTGTAAAAATGTATTTTAGGATTAAAATGAAGGAAGTGTATCTTGCCCTAACGGTGCATTTTACCCCAGGTATCCCTACTTAGGGACAGTGATAAATAGAACAAAACAATGATTTCCGCTGTTCGACGCATCAGATTACATACAATTTAATTGGAAAATCTATTTAAAACTAGGAGACATAAAAAGTGAACTTAACTTTTGAAAATAAAAGCATGTAATATACTCTATTGGGGCCGCAGGACTTTGGTGGATCCCGCTCGGTCAATCTCAACAAAAGTGGTACACAATTAAATAATTAAAATAAGAGTAGCGCAGTGAACCTAAACGGCGATGATAAAGCGTTTCTTGAGTGTGTATGTGTAAGTGTAGTTGTTGGAGTCTTGCATTCCAGTGCATGGATTATATGCTGCCTTGGAGAAAACGATAGATGCCTAATAAAACTGAGCACCGTGGATCGGCTGTGCATGGTGACTGTTCATAATCTGCTGAGTTGGTGTTGTAAATAAGGATGGAGAAATTGCGCCTCCAATCAGTTGCTGTTGGGCTACATTCTGCGTTGAAGTAGCCGCGCAAGCAATCGTTGGATTCATTGCTAACTGTTGCGTTGGAGTTGCTTGTTGTTGAGACTGCTGTCTTCCAGTACTGGAAATGAGTCCGGGATGAATATTCGGTTGGTTTCCAATCGGCATCAAGTTGGTGTTAATCATCGTCATGTCTACTTCGCCAAGGCCGTTTACGGTGATTCCATTTACGAGATTCACTGCATTTCGAGCCCCTTGAGCATCTAGTTGTCCCCAATACGCCTCACTTGGTGATGTAGTATTGGAACCTGGTGGTGCCGGAACAGGAGCACCAGTGTATCGGAAGTACGGATTTTTAAGATCTAGGGTGTTGGTGGAAGTAATAAGTGTTCCTTCCAATTTCAAGTCAATTTCAACATCATAGCTTTGCCTTTGATTAGCTGCCAAAACTACTTTGCCGGACAACACTTGACCTTGCTTAACAAAGATTGGTGTTTGCAATAAGCAGCGAACCTGATACCAATGCGTAAGCGATTCCGTCGGTGCCGTAGATAGCCAAACTTGAGAGCATGAACCAGCAAACTCAACATCAAACCAGAAAGCTAATCCGTGACAAGATCCTGTTTCAAGAATGTGAAATTCAACGTCAATCTTTATGCGGTGCAAATCTTTTTCATCTGCTGTCAAAAAATTGGTTACATGTCTTATAGACTTAGCCATGCAAATGCGAATATCGAATGTATCAACAATTGGCTGCCGGAAGTATTCCTTCATAGCAGCATCTCTCAGGGCCACCAAATTCACTCCATGGAATTCGGTTTGCATCCAAAAGTTGGCTTTATTGTATTGCTCCATGTAGAGAGCTTCGTCAGTGAAGGGCGCCACGTGCAAGTCACCCCGTGAAGGGAACATTTTTCCATCTGGTCTAAGCCACTTCTTACCGTGAAGATAGGTTTCCAACATGCGCTCGTTGTACAGCATGTAACCCATTGGTTCGGAGATGATGACGTCGACCATCTCAGGGAGTTCGATTTCCTCAATCTTACCGGCAATCACGGTAATCTTCCCATCGAGATTATTCGAGTGCACTAGCTGCTGGGCGTACTGGGCCATATTGCTAGCTTCAACTGCGTAAACCTTAGCTGCACCTGCCTGAACGGCAAAAAAAGATAGGATACCTGTGAAGTGGAAAAAAGAAAAAAAAAAAAGGTTGAGTTAGTGGAAGGAATGTTGGTAAAAGAACTTGTTAAGGTACACCGGGGCAAGTTAAAACGCGCTGGGAAGTTGAAACGGTACGTGTATATCTTAGCGAAAGTAAATATTCAGTGTGTACTACCGCAAACTACTAGATTAGAAATAATCTCAGTGATTATTCACTTTCGCTAAGAGATACACCTACCATTTCAACTTGCCCCGGTGTACCTTCTGCATTTTGTAATTTCCGTTTTGCGCGAAAATCGCGTTATTTGATCTGAATTAGCAGCTATTATTCAGTTTTTGTGCATCTTCGTACAGCAGACCCATACTGAAAAACCGCCGAGAGGTGCTATGGTGGTTAGATTTATTGGTAAAGCTCATTGTTTGAAATGCCATTTAATGTACACTAATAGTGTACCAAAGGTGATGCATATTGCTATTAACTACAAGGAGTTCCAATGAGTTGGTCAAATATCTTGAATAGGGTGGGCAAAGTATGTGATGGATCACAACCACCTACTCCCACTGCTCTTTCTGGTGCCCAATAACAAATGTGCAAAATTTGGACGAATTTGGCTACGAAGTTTGTATGGGAAAATGTAAGGGAAATGGAACGGAACGATTCAGGTGCTTGTCAAAAATTAAAAAGTTCTCAATTTCGTCAAAACCTTAGGCTTAGATTGGCAAAACTATGTAGAACAACTTTGTCGAAGACCGCAAATCTATTCGATTAGTGGGCTACCTATAAGCCTTATAAAGGGTGTATTCGATAAACATGGCACACACATAAACAGCTGTAACGTTTTAACTATTATACCAAATAACTTTAAATTTTCAGAGAAGATTCTGTAGAGAGTTCTGATCAATATTTAAATACGAGCTTTGACTTGGGTTTTAATGGGCATCAGTATGATTGGCTACCCGCGGAGGCTACTCTGTTATTACCAGATCAACTGTAATTACAGAGGATCCTCAATGTGTAAAACCAGCCGAGTCCGATAGCAGGTCAAGCAAGGATTGGGTAGAAATGTGTTGACGTGATACTCGCTTTATTGGAAGCCGAGGAGTTATCTGCACTTCCACGAGAAATCACTGGGTTGTCAGATAAAAGAGTTGGGTATGCAGCAAGGTTCGTTTTGGTAAACGGTACGCTGAATTTGGAGGGGCATGATATTAAGCTCATGATGTTCTGCTCAGCAAGCAAAAACGGTTGATCTAAGGCCACCAACCTCCTCATATCACATCACACCACTTATGATCGAGTTGTTGTAGCCATTCAAACCTGGCACCGCCGGATAATTTTCACAAAACACGATGAACAAGCAATACGACTAAGAAACTCTTTAATATGATGGGGCCTGGGTTTTATCCAACGATTTTCTGCTCTTACTGCTCTTACGGCTGTCTGAGCCTGGCGACCTACGAGCTTTTAAATCATGAACATACTAAAATGTACTTATTCATTCACTACGTTCTTCGGGTACGCACGGAATCTATAAAACCATCATATTTTTTAAATTACACATTATAAGTCTAGTGGAGCGGACTCTAATACAACGAGTCAAAATGGAACCAGCTTTGCTTTGATTTGATCTAGAAATTAATTGGCAATCATCCACGGACCATACATTTTTTTTTTTGTGTTGACAATTGTCTACGCAGGGGGAGAGGGGGTCAAGAATCCCAAAAAACTGTCTACGTTGTCAATGAACGCCCCTATGATGTGAATGTGAAGCATCACACTGCAAAACATGAGCATTGTAAGTTATTGTTTACTCCATATTTGGAATAGGGGAAAAATACGTTTGTTAAATTAAAAAAAAAACTAAATTGCCACACAAGTTTTAAAACATGACAATCTTTTAAACTGATTTTGTTACTAACTAACTTGTAAAAAATTCGCTAACGTGTTTGATGATGTTTTGGACGCTAGATAAGAACCTCATTTGTCAAGCTATGTGGCAAAAATATTTACGCGAAATTTATTTGCATAGCCGTGGTTATCAAAAGAGAGGATTTGAATTGTTCATCTAGAATATGGAGAAGAAAAATTGTTAAATAGGGGAAATGGCTCTTATGTTGACTGGGCTCATCGATAAAAATATCCTGTTCTTCAATTTTTCTTAGAACAATGATTCTTCTAGATAAGACCTATGGATTTTTTTGGATGCTAGGGAAAAATTGGCAAAATATGCTTTCCTTCGAAATGTATGTATGGGTCCTATATTAGGGACACTTAGGACGACATTAGGGACATTAACCCTACCTAATCATTTTCCAGGATGCTTTTTCGTACTGGCTGCGTTTATATTAAATTAGATTTAGATAATACTGCATACTTTATGTCGAAAGACCTTCGCGTCAATAATTATGAAAAAATTGTAGAAGTTAATTTGATCTCGTTCAGATCGATTTGGCTTTCCAAGAGCAGTTTTAGTAAAAAAAATATTATTATTTTTTCAATTTATTAATCAAACTTGGCTTGCTGAAAGTATAATTCAAGGGCACATTCAAGGAAAAAACTAACAAAACTCTGTTCTTAAATGTCACTACGATGGAATTTTCTCTTTGAGGATGGAGAAGTTTTTCTTTTTCAATTTTACTGGATATCGCAGATAACAGTAACTTTAAAATTATTTTGTAACCAATGTATGCCAAACAATAATACAAAATTTGGTAAGTACATAAATAGCACAGACAAACAGACGTAACTCTTCATTATGGATGGATAATTATGGAGAAAATAATTCGAAGCAACTGACAGCCACAGCATGCTATTAAAGCTGATAATCTGACGTCAAATGTGAATCTATTCCGCGAACTACTCACCGACGGAGTCACCGTAGCGCAGGAAACGGGATCACTTTGACGTTTCTACATATCTTGGTCACCTTGAATGCAACATTGTTCGCGACTTAGTGAGCAAGCTTGTTTTTTGCGACATGCTCGAGAGATGTCGTTACTGAGGTCCCATTTTTTAGGTACAATATTCTCAAGAAAAACTAATTCACGTCTGTTTGTCTGTGTAAATAGTGCATCTTTTTAATCATTGTCGTACCAACAAACATTGAAAGCAAAATAAGAGCTTATTCAGGCCAAAATATGCTTTTACAGTTAATAAACTATTTATTCAGCCTTTAATCAGCACACAATTTTTGTTAGGGTTAACTTGTTGAAAGAAATATATTATTTTTGTCCCCGCTCTTTGAATTCACCCCGCAAAACGGTGGGTTGAGCAGTAGAGTGTTAGCTCTCTTTATTCATACGGTGCATTAGATGTGAAGTACTTAATGTATTCAAGCTACTATTTGCTTTTTCCGTAAATGTATGTTTGATTTAAATTGATGGCTGACATGCCACCAAAAAAATCCCGAAAAGTTAAATCGATCGACATACTAACATACAGCAGATAAACAAACTAAAAATAAACCAGGTGACTTACCCGAGCCGGCGCCTACATCCAGTACTATCTTGTTGTGGAAGTCCTGTGAGTTGCTATAGATAGCTCGTTGGTAGGTGCTCGTTCGAACGAAATCCTGCATCATGTTTTGCTGCTGCGAGAGATAGCCATAGAACTGAAAATACTGTGATGCTGACGAATCCTCCGTGCGGAGATTGAATACTGAGTTGACCTTGCCGGACATCTTCTGCAGCAGTTGCCGGAACAGCTGGCAGTCTGCTTTGGATCCGAATTTGACGTAGATCATATCGCCTCCTACTACCAGAATATGTGATGTGATGCCATGATTGAGATGGGTAGTTTTCGCGTTGATAGGATACTCTTCCAGCTGCTGCTGACTGCCTTCCCGAAACACTCGGATACTCATCCCTTGCGGATCATAGCCGCAAACGATCGCTACATTGTGGCCATATTTGTTGACGAGGTTGTCATTATCGCCGATGATGAAAATGTTGCATCCGTGCAATCTCGCCAATTGGTCGCACATTTTCCTGTTCCGTTCTTTTTCGAACGCGCTGATAGTGCACTATTCCGGCACTAACTGGCTGGAATTTTAGGGCTTTAACGAGAACAACAGACAAGCAATCGAATGACGCTAATTTCACGGCAAAAATGCTATTTTTTCGTCCTGAAATAGGATTTTTACAACTTAGGGACAGATCTTCACACAGTCAGTTTCGGGTCGGCTGTCGCCCTTTTTTATAGCGAGCTCGCACACACTAACGTACCTTTGTCCATCGTTTAGCAGCACGCATACCAATTTATAACCGCCGCTACATTGTGCAGGTGTGCGTGTAAGGAAGGAACGATATCCCATGAAGCAAAACAATGCATAAGGACCAATCTGGAGAAAATTGTCAATGCGTCGTATATTCAAAAGATTTTAAAATCTAAATAGTACAAAAGTTATGCCAAAATGGCAACCTATGCACGCTTAGTATATAGAAATGGATTATAATGCATTTTATAAGGGAAGTTGTTAGTTATCGTAACTATATCAAAATATTTGTTGAATATTTTTATTTTTTTTCCTTGGTTTGTTTTCCGTCGATCTTGTTTTCCGTGCTGAGCACCAATGCTACCGACGCCAGGAAGGCAGCTCGCACACCTGGACCCTACCTATCGATCCATCAACTCATGAACCGGGGACCAACGGCTTTACTTCCCTTCCGAAGGAAGACGTGATCAGAGATGTTATGCCTCAGAACATCCCGGCGGCGCCGACTGGGATTGAACCCAGGCCTGCTGGGGTGAGAGTTAATCACGTTTACCACTACACCACCGGCGGCGCTTGTTGAATATTTTAACAACATATAATTTATTATATACCTATTGTGGTGACAATTTGATAATTTGAATTGCATGAGTTTAGATTACCGAAGTCGGTAAAATTTTACTGAGTTTTGAAACAGCTGAGTTTTCAGTAATCAACCAAGTAGTTTTTGCTTTTGCTGAAAACTCCGTAAATTGCAGAATCTCTGAACTGTCTAACATTACCGTTTTAGCGAAGACAACAAATCAAGAAGACTGGCAACTCTTCCATTTTCTCATACGAACGCTATGAGACAGTTACGTCATCTGCCGCTCAAAGGTAAATGCTTCGCTCAAGCGCAGCGCTATTGTATCTATCACTTGGATTCTGGCAAAGTTGCCAGTTTTCTGATTATGATGTCTTCGGTTTTAGTCAGTACTAGTACTGCTGTCTTTCTCAGTAATTTACCGAAAATGGTTAAAAATTGTTTATAATCCCTGATAAACTTTAACTGAAATTTTTATGGAACTTTATATGAACGTTTGTGTGATAAAGTTTTACCCTTATGTATTAGGGAAGGTCCAATAATTATGTCACGCAAATTTGGCCCATTTTAAACCACCCCCCTCCCCTTTTTGTCACATGTTTGTATGGACCTTAAATTTGTTTTGTAAGGCTCGTCACAGTTTCCCCCTCCCCTTAAAAGTGTGACATAATTAATGGACGATCTCTTTATAGTTTTTTGGAAGTGAACCCAAGAGTGAACCTTACAAATAATGGGTTGTTAAGAACCATTACCATTCCAAATTCTTGTTTTCTTCATACATTTTCGGAAAGAGAACTATACATATTAGAACCTTTTAACTTATTGTTTGAGAAATTTAATGGTAATGTAGTCAGTAAGGTCCATGAATGATTTTGTAACATCGATCAACTTAAGGTGGAATATATCGCTAATTGGTTGCCTGTAAATTACTGATTACCAATTCACGATATATTCCACGTAAAGTTGACCGATAATACAAAACCTTACTGACTACCAAGGCACGATCAACTTCATTATTCAGCTGAAATGTAAATACATACTTCAAAAATGCACACAAAAATACGTGAATGTTTACATGTTGAAACTAAAATACCCTAAAAAATATACTTAAAAATACTTTGGAAATACTTTGTATACGAAAAATACATTTCATAATGACTAGAATACACTTTAATACAAAAATACACAAAACTTAAAAATATATAAATACGAAAAATACAAAATACACCTTTTCAAGTCGGGTAGATGAATCGAAAATACTCAAGTTGATAGCCCCTTGCTGACTACCATAATCATTACCATTAAAGTTCTCAAACTATAAGTAAAAAAGGTTCTAATATAGTTTTCTTTCCAAAAATGTATGGAGAAAATAAGAATTTGGAATGGTAAGGGGCCGTCCATAAACTACGTAGACAGTAAAAAAAATTGTATGGACAATTGTCTACGCAGGGGGAGGGGGGGGGTCAAGAATCCCAAAAAAAAACTGTCTACGTAGTTTATGAACAGCCCCTAATGGTTCTTAACAACCCATTATTTGTAAGGTCCACTTCCAAAAAACCATAATAAATAAGGTTAAAACTCTATTACACAAACGTTCATGTAAAGTTCCATAACCATGTTACGTATAATTTTGTTAATAGTGAATTATTCCGAGTTCGGATTCAGTCAACGCTAATGTGATCAAACTATTTCACGCGTAAACATAACGGAGAAAAAAAACAGGGCCATCATAACACACCCGCTGGAAAACGTCGCACATACTTGGAATTTGCTGTCATAATTATGCAATGGGTGGGAAAAAATCCCTCACGCACATCAATAGCAGGAAGATTTCCGGTCAGTAGTAGGTAATTGTTCGTCGGTGAGTAAGTCGCTTGCACCAAAAACAAAAAATTGGCTGACTAAAAAAGGAGATCGAGAAGTGCGGTTTCTTTCTATATGGGAGTGCGATTGCCAATCCGCGTTTGATCCGGTGAGGATGTCGTGCGTGTTGTGCGAGACCCACTTTGGAGCGGCGTTTAGCAGATCTCGTGGAGTGAGCGCCTACAACGTCTTATTACCACGACGGTGGCATGTCGTGTGAGACCCACTTCGAGCTGATTAAATTAGCTCCAAGTGGGTCTCACACAACACGCCACCGTCGTGGGAATAAAGCTGGGTTTAGATAGGGCAAGTCAAATGATCAACTCAGTTGAATTCAATTGGCTTGCAAAGTTGAGCCTGGTTCAACTTTTTTCAATTCAAGTGAGTTGATCAAGTCAGTTGAATGGCATGGTTTACACGTTCAATTCGCGTTCAAGTCAGTTGAATTCAACTGACTTGATCAATTGACTTGCCCTATCTAAACCCAGCTTAAGACTCTGTAGACGCTCGATTTTGAATTCCTTTTCCACCTGCTCTTATCCGTCGAATTTGATCGGTTTAAGTCCGCGAAATGGATGTGCGTTGCCGTCTTCTCCGTGATGCACTTGATGTTGTCCCGCGACCGATTTTAGACGAGTCAGTCTTCTTTTTTAAGTTTTCGCACCGATTTTTAACCAGCATAGCCAGCTGACAAACATGGTGTTTATTGTGGAGATTGTTGAAAACTGACAGTGAGTATGGCAGAGTGCTTCCTGGTCGACCTGAAAACTTCGAGAAACTGCACGGCTTGCATGACAATTTGTGTGCATGCAGAAGGTATAAGTTGGGAAAAGAAAGAATAGATAGAATGGATTGAAATTTTGTGCACGTTGAAAATTTTATGAGAGGTTTTGGTAAAAATGGGATAATCCTGAAGTGTCGTTCCCCCTGGTAAACCCCATTTTGTTTTGTTTGTGCACATGCCAATTCGTGTTTTGCGTGTGGTAGTTCTGATCTATCAATAAAGGAAAAACTGTAACAACCATTTCAGTTAAAGTTTAGGAGGGATTATAAACAATGTATAACCTATATCGGTAAGGTCAATTGATGGTTCGCGTTTATGCGGGTTGATTTGTCGTATGAATAATAATGTTGGCAAACAAAAATAATCAAACGGAGTAGACTGTAACGAAAACATGGACGTCGAGATTACTGGGCCCATGTGTTAACCACTAGACTTTCAACGCTTGGGAAAATGAAATGGCTAAAGGTTCTACCTCATGTAAGACGAAAATCAATCATAAGCCACGCTTATGAAATTCATATGTTTCGTTCATAAGTCGAGCCTTATGAAATTCTTAAGTTTATTTGCATCGATATATACCTCCTCGTGAAAATTGTTTAAATCAGAGATAGAAATTCTCACGATAAGCATTTCCTCACTCAAGCTACTTTTCGGTGAGTTGTGAACCGTTCAAATTTTCATCTCTCCTTTTTCACCGATAATTCATTATCCTCTCTCATACATAATCCGAAAATATCTCTCTTCAAAACCCAACGAAAATACTTTTTCATCACCCATTTGGCTCTGAAAACTACCAAGAGCGAAAAAATACCACCCCAAATTGTTCGGTTCCAACCCAATGTGATGTAAACAGTTGAGGCTTCGGAATTCGCCGTCTCTCTTGTTCTTCCGCTTATTAAATGGTTTACGGAGTGTGAAATCATAACTGTGTTATCCCTAGGGGCAAGTCAGCTGTACTCTGAGCAAATATATTTACATTGAGTAACTGTGAGTTACTCGTATTTGCTCAGAAAATAACAAAGTAGCATCAATTTTACTTTTTCCATACTGTCATATTTACAAACAGCCATTATGAACAGATTTATAGCTAATTGCAAGTAAGTTATTTTTGTATATAATAGCCTTGTTGAAGAGTAGATGATCCATCCAACTAAAACTCTGTTATCACCATACAGTTATCGTCCAACACACCAGCTCGGTAGATCAAGACCCTCATACTGATTAGACGATATTGTGCAGTACGATTGGATTAGCTCTCTCCCACTACGTATCAGTGAAGCCATCATCATGCCATCAGAAGCTCTCAGAAACCCAAGGAAATCATCGCATCGACGGAGGACTGACCTTCCTACAACGATCGTGCGGGTAAAGGGATCAGTCCCCTTAACCAGGTCCCTGTATTATACGAATAGGAGACTTACGACGGCATTTTAATCCGTTACGTTGTTCCTAGTTTAAGTGAAATACAAATTAGTGATAAACTTAATAAACCTTTTATTGTATGTTTTTCTGTGTTAAAAAAAAGTGCTAGGTATTATTTAACCGTAGCGAGTGCTTAGTTAGTTGTTACGAAGCAAACACCTCCTATTGGGTACCGGCTGGATTGTCTGATTGAAGTCCCAATCGACATTGTGCTTGGTGCATGAATTAAGTACCCTTTGTTTACCGTGAAACTGTTTCATGCATCGGTGTCGGGAGTTTAAACCCAACCGTTTTCCACTGCTGAGCTAGAAGGTAATGGCCCACCTTTGTTCAAACCTCTTGGTA